AGACCCTTAGGTGTGTGTTGTGCTTGAACACCCAAAAAATAATGAACATCCCTCAAATCCTTCATTGCAAATTGAAGTGACAACGTGTGTATAACATAGGAAACAAACGAAGTGGAAGAGCCAGTAATAAGAATATCATCCACATATAAAAGAATATAAACCACCTGAGAATGAACATGGTTTGTGATAAATGAACATGGATGAATCAGACCTGCTTTGTGAAAAACCACGACTCAATAAAAAACCACAGAAACGGTGAAACCAAGCTCTAGGAGCTTGTTTCAGACCGTAAAGAGCCTTGCGAACACGACAAACATGATTACGAAAAGAGGGATGAATAAAACCATGAGGTTGACGCATATAAACCTCTTCAGTTAAATAACCATGCAAAAAAGTTTTTTTCACATCTAACTGGCGAACAGACCAACCCAAAGAAACAACAACAGACAATACAAGACGAATTGTGGTAGGTTTAACAATAGGACTAAATGTTTCAGTAAAATCAATACATGTCTGTTGTTTAAAACCTCGGGCCACTAGACGAGCTTTATGCCGCTCAACAGACCCGTCAGAACAATATTCCGTCTTATAAAGCCACTTACAACCGACCACATTTTTAGTAGGATCCCAAGGTACCAAATCCCAAGTCTTATTATTAGTCAAAACATTAAATTCATCAGTCATGGCAGCCCGCAAAATAAAACTTTTATTTGCCTGTGTAAAACAAGTAGGATCATCCGGTGGAGTGAAAGCATTTAAAGTGAAAATATTTTTGGGTTTAAAAATGTCATCATTTGCACGGGTGCGCATTGGATGGACATTAAGAACATGAAGAGGACTGGAAGAACTTGCGGGTGACACGGAGGAACTAGAGATGGTGGCAGAAGGTACTGATGAGATAAGGGAAGACATTGTAGGTAGAGGGAAGCTGGGGTAGACTGCTGCAGTTTGAGGTCGGCTGCTGCAGGTTGCAGGTTGTTGCAGCAGGGGTTTGGGTCTGCAGGTTGGTGCGGGTAGACTGGGACTGATATAAGGGTGGATGTGGAGCTGGCAGATCCGGCCTTACCCAGGGAGTAATAGAGTGAGGTTGATCATGGACTGAGGATGATAACCTGGAGGAAGATATGGTCGGCGGTGCTGGAGAGGAAGAGGGGGATACCAAGGAGGGATAAGGAAAAACATTTTCATGAAAAACAACATCCCTACTAACATAAACCCGCCCGGTGGAAAGAGACAGACACTGGTAGCCTTTATAACCCGGAGCATACCCAAGAAAGACACAATGAATAGAACGTGGTGATAGCTTATTGTGAGAGGCAGCAATAAAATTAGGGAAGCAAGAATAGCCAAAAACACGCAAGAAATTATAATCAGGCAATTTATTAAAAAAAAAGACTTATACGGGGAGACTGCCTGCAAAATAGGTGTAGGTAAACGATTGATAATAAATGTGGCAGTATAAAGCGCATCTACCCAGAAGTGACTAGGAATAGAAGAATCAATCAAAAGTGTCCTAGTCAGCTCGAGTAGATGTTTGTGTTTGCGTTCTGCTACACCATTTTGAGCAGGAGTATGAGGCAAGATTTTCTAAATAAAATGCCTGAATTAAGAAAATGCGTGTTAAATAAAGAATTATCAAATTCACCCCACCATCACTCTGAAAATTTTTTATTTTGGCATTTAAAAGATTTTCAACCATTTTTTGAAAATGAATAAAATGTGTAAATACTTCAGATTTCCTACGCATAGGATAAACCCAGGTATATCGAGAAAAATCATCAATAAATGACACATAATATTTAAAACCAAGGTTGGAAACAACTGGTGATTGCCAAACATCAGAATGAATAAGCTCCAAAGGGGCAGAAATATCATGAATAACATCACTAAAAGGAAGTCTGTGGGATTTACCCAACTTACATGAAACACAATCATGAGTAAAAACTGAAGAACTAGTAATTAGTTTATTTTGCCTAAGAGTACAAAGAACTCTATCACCATAATGTCCTAGACGTTTGTGCCAGACGGGACCAGGTACAACTCGGGCTTGAAACGCAGTAAAAGGATAGACATGATCTGTATTAGAGGTCTGAAGAAGAAGCTCCCCCGTTTGATTATCCTTAACAGAAAAAGAATTTTTATCAAAAATCACTTGACAGACATTATCCGCACACAATTTTTGTATTGAAAGCAGATTATATTTAATGTGTGGGGGACATGATAAACAGAATTAAGATGAAGTGGGCAGCCAGATGTGATTAATTTAACATGACCAATATTAGATATGGGCAATGAAGCACGGATACTTCCCTAGGGTAGCATATCGGCGTATCCGATATGTTCCCGTATCCGATACTCTAGGATACCCGTACCAAACGTTCCCGGGTCGTATCTGCAATTTTTAAAAGTTTCCATTTTTGTAATTTTTTGAAAGTTTCTGACACTCGTATATATCCTGACGGATACCCGTATCAACTTTTTTAAAAAAAATCCCAAAATTTACTTAATAAAATTCTAAAAAAATTAAAATCTAAAACTACATTTTACTTGGTAATCAAATAATAGGCCTATATGGCTTTATCCGAATTAAGTCATTAACTCATACTCCGAATTGGGTACTTGCACTTTTAATTTCAAGATTGTAGTTGTTAGACTTATTTCTCATTTTAAATTAATGACTTATTGAGTACATTTATATTTCGAGATACACTAGTGTATATGAGAAATATTCTGAATTTATTACTAAGTAGTATCTTGAAAAAGGAAAATGCTTCAATGCAATGAATGGGTAGACATCATAGGATATTAGATGTATATATATATATATATATATGTATATATATTTTTAATATTTATAAATAGACCCCTATAACTTTTAATATTTGTAAATACACCCCCATAACTTTTAATATTTATAAATATGGCCCCGTATCCGTATCCTACTTTTTTTTTGTTTTGACGTATCCCCGTACCCGTTTCCGCGTTTCCGCGTTTCCGCGTACCGGTATCGGTGCTACATAGGATATGGATAATTTGGTACCATTAGCAACACAAACTTGATTCGGACCAGTATAAGTAGTTTTAGAAGATAAAATACCTTCATGAGGAGTCATGTGCGCGGAAGCTCTAGAATCAGGATACCAGACCGAATCATGTGTCTCACCGGTGGGAAGAGCCGCAAGTGCACGAGTATTTTGAGATGTGAAACGAGAGAAAGTGATAGCAGAGTGACCTGGAGAGAAGCAAAGCTGGCACACAACTGGCAGAGATGGGGATGGATAGGAATTCTCAACAGATAGGAAACATGCACTAACATTATGAGTAACACAAGCAGGAAAGTGATTAGTAAAACCAAAACCAGAACGAATATTACTCAATGTCAAACATGCGCCACCAGAATATGGAGGCCCACGAGGATGAGGAGGTTGTCCATAAGGTACTCCGTAAGCCGAGTAGCCACCAAATTGCTGCGGAAACTGCTAGTGATATCTGTGTCCTCCTCGACCGCGCCCTCCGCGAGCTCTGCCACCACGGTTACCTCGGCCAGAGGGTCTTCGGTGAGCACCACCCCCATTGCCGCGAGGTGCAGCAGCAAAGGCCTGGTGAACAGGCGAAGTATCATGACTCGAGAGGGCTGAATTCTGTTGTTCCTGGGCATGTAGAATTGGCCGGAGAGCCTCAAGTGTAGCATTCCCAGGAAAATATGAAATTGTCGTAATAAGTGGCTCAAATTCCCGACCCAACCCCAAAATTGCATACTCCATTAAGTCATGGTTACTGACAGGACAATTTATCATGGCCAGTGCATGAGTGCATCTACTATAAGCTTAATTTCCTGTAAATATTAGTCCATAGTCTGGAAATCTTTCCTTTTAATATGAGACAAAGAGCGTTTAAGTTCAACAGAACGTGCAAAACAAGCCGACATGAATCTGGTCCTAAGACGTTCCCATATAAGATGAGAGAATTTTAAATCATATACTTCCATTAAAATATCCCTAGCCAAAGTAGCAAAAATCCAGGACCTCACTGTCTGGTCAATCTTTAGCCAATGATGATATTCAGGATTAGCCACCATAGAAGACGGAACCCGAATTGAGCCATCCACAATCCCAAGGAGAGAATGAGAGACCAAGAATGACTCAAATGGGGTACGCCAGGGTAAATAATCCTCCACCGCGGACAGCCGAGTGGTAACAATATTCGTCACATTCGGCGTGGAAAAAGTCAATTGTGATGATAAAGTAGCTAGATAATTTGATGAAGAAGTAAAACCCGGTGCACTGGAGGAGACTGTATTCGGTACGGGGTTAAACAAGTGAATGGTTCCGGCATGTTAAACAATTTGTATAATCAAGCCCCGGGATTTCAGTTAATCGCTGCCGGAGAGGGGCGGATAGTGGGGACCACATTGGCTGTGCATCACTGGTCAGACCCGTCGCGACTGCACGCGATGCACCTGGAGAGGGAGTCGAACTGCTGGAGCCAGTTTGGACTTTGGAGGTTTGGAATCGAGCCAGGGTGACGACGCTGGACGACGGCAGCAATTTGAGAATATTGCAGGCCGGAGGAGGGTTGTGGCTGCACCTGGGAGGAGGGCGCGGACTGGTTTGTGGCTGCGGCTTGGGTATCGGCCATAGTAGAGAGAGAACAAAAACCTAGGCGACTAATATCATATACGGAAATATAATTGGGAGAATAATGGCTTACACCATTGGGTGTCTTAGCCTTATATTTATAATAAAACTGAGTTATGAAATATCACAAAGTAATTCCTAAATAATTCATTTTGAGCATAAATTACTGCGACTTTTGCAAAACTTTCAATTTCATCAAGACAATGCTACGGCTCTACATGAACAACAAATAAATTTAAAAAGAACAATAGGCAAACCACCAGAATGCAACCAAAAGTAAAGTCTGTAAAAATATGCATCAAAAGTGAAACTAGTACAGACTACAGACACTCAATTAGTTTTTATCTTTGAAGCTTTCTTCGCTGGACTTCTTGCCATTGAATTCTTCATGTCAATGAAAAACTGTAATGCTCCAAACAACTGCAAACCCTGCCACAAAAAAGGGTGTCACTATTAAGTTGATTACAAATCAATCAGTTCCTCAAATACAAGTATCATTTCTTCCTTGCACTTCCAAAGAAGAGAATCAATCACAGAGTCAAACACCAGGCTTGACAAGGAATCTGAAGAAAGGAAGAATGGTCAAATCATTCCCTCAAAGGTGTAGCTTACCTGTGTAAATTTAACAAAAAGTACATCAAATTTTTTCTGGTCAGCATCATAGTTGTAGAAGTCATACGTGATTGGGGTAAGGATTGCCTGATGAAAAAGATGGAACAAGAAATAGAAATATTCAAAGCCATATTCAAAATCTCTTTCCTTTTGGTCCATACCAAAAAGATCTTGGTGTTTCCTTTTGAGGAAAGAATTGTGTGGTTGATATTAATTCCGCAATACTTCATTTGCTTAAACTCCATGTAAAGTTAATGGGAGGAGAAAAGTTGGGAAGACAAAAATTCCTTTTATGTGAATAAGAGTGACTCGAAGGCCAAAGCACAGCAATCATGAAAGTACATACTAGTATATAAGCTCCAAGAGAGCTGCCAAATACAAATAGAAAGCTTCCGACTTCTCTCATAATGATAGTCACCATGACAAGATGTTTCATCTGTATATATGTAAGTTCAAGGAATAAGAAACATTAGTACTTAGTAATGCATGAATTAATATTACGAAGTATGAATGAAAAACATTAAAAGTCCGTTTGATAACCCATGTCTTCGGCTTATCATCCTTATAAACCATTTTTACCAAACGCATCACTTTTGTTTTTGTGCGCTGGACTGTAATAATAAAAACAAGTAAGTTTATTTTATGATAAATAAGACTATTTTAGCTATTTTCACGTAATTTTTCTTTATTTTATTAACAGAATATATTTTAAATATAATTCTTTTATAATTCGGCGGACTCGACCAAACTTTAACCAATTTCAGCATATTAAGTCAATTCAAGTGTTACCAAATGAGCTCTCAGGTACAGAACAACTCTTATCATCTCAATTTTAGGAATATGAAGGCCAATGTGTGTCCCAACATGTTTTGAGAAAACATTGAACTTGGGTCTCAATGCCTTTGCAGCTGGCCCACCATCAACACCAAATTCAGTGAACCTACAACCATGAAAGTAAACACTAGAGTTAACAATCTTATTGAGCGAAAAAAATATGAAATCGATAACACAGTCATAAGATTTCATAAATTCTCAGAACGGAAGGGCCGAAGGAGATATGCAACCGGAAAAAAAGTGAATTACAGATTAATAAAAGTTATAGACTTAAGAATAAGGAAAGCAAAGTGCATGGTGAAGCAAGTAACTCTATTACTCTAAGTACAGTAAATGCTAACTAGTAAAGTAACTGAAAGCCACCATGAACATTTGGAGAGTTCAGATCAAGTTATTTCTAATTTTGTTTAGACAGAAAACTGATCTCCTATGACTTTTTAACACTTATCTGGTTGGGGGACTGGGGGTGGGGGTGATATTTACGAAAACAAATAGTAGTATAAATCCTCCACTCCACTCCATCACACAATCAAACAGTCAAACAAGAGCTTGCATTACTGATCTTACAAAGCAGGATATAGATTTAAAATCCATATGCCAATCATTAATGAAATAACTCCCCAACAACTTGTGAAAATGCAGCCTAAAGCTACTCAGAATCCCAATGAGAGCTCACAGTTATAATAGTATTGATCGATAAAAACTGTAAAACAAAACGCTACATTCCATATTCAACAATTCAACAAATTAAGTGATTAATTGATCGTGGCACGCCAACACTCATGGCATAAACGTACCACACACGCAACAGATTCAAATACAGTTCAAATGTGCTTGCACGGAGTACATCGGAAGGGAGAACATCAGAGCTTACTCTGATGATCTCAATATTTTTAGAGGAAAGCACATTGTTTTTTAGAGCAAAAAACTTATGCTACGTATAAAATATCAACCCCAGTAAGAATCACAACTCCCCAAGATCTTAATTCAAATTCTAAAGAGGATACTCATAATAACAATCATCTATAACAACAACAATAATAATAACAATAACAACAACGGCTATTATTTGTACATTACACTTTTATGATTGTTCAATTATGCACAACTGCAAGAATAACAATAATGTACTCTCATCATCCCAATTTGTTTTAAAAAAATGGTTCACACGGTTGATTGAATATAAAGATAATCTTTCTCAACTTCTTTTACAAAAACTATATATCTACAAACTATATTAATTAAAAGTTCTATTGAAACGCAAATGATCACATATTTAAAGTGATTATGAATCTACAATCAAATTAGAGAAATAATAAAATGATATTGTATCAACCAAGAAAAGTAAATTAAAAATAATTTTGTGATAGAAAAACGGGGACATATGTTTTTTAGCCCCATAGCTTTTGAGCATATTTGTGAGTCTCGTAACTTTTGAGCGTGTTTGTTATTAATCACGCAACTTTACTCATTTACATATTTGGATGTGTAATCGCTAAATTTGTCCACATTAAAGACTTTTCGGTCAGAAATAGACTTTTCGTAGTAAAAATCAGTAAAGTGAGCATTGGCGTCAACTTTCAGGACTAAATTTAATTTCCTCAATAAATGCATGAAATTTACTACAGTCATATGTATTAAGACTCCAAGTCCAAGTCCAATCAATTAATTAAATTAACAAAATAAGGCAAATCAAATATTAAAGTTTTTTAAATAAATTGAGAAGAGCCAATACATGCAATATGCACCAACATCTCCTACAGAAAACTCCAATTGAATATAATTAATCAAATGTCCTACCATAAACTCAAAACTTGAAATAGACTTCAAGTCATTATAAAACAAAGAATTAAATGTAAAAAAAGTTAATAAATGAAATTAATTTTGTCCTGCAAATCTGAAATCTTGACTAAAGTATCACAATAGTAAACACTTATTCTCTTACAAAAATGCTTACAAAGAATTGAATGCCAATTTTAAAAAAAAAACATAGTACTCCTTACCTCCAATTGTAAGATACATTTCGGTTGGGTGCAACTTTAAAAACAAGAATAAAGTGGTTGTTTTACATTTTTTAACTCGCGAAAAGTAAAAAAATGTAGTATGCATTCAAATGAAGTAAATGATGAAACGATATATAAAGAATAAAGTTGGAAATAAAAAGTTTATAATAATTTAAGAAAGGTGTCATAATTTTTAGACATACATAAAGTAACACGTGCCTTGCAAAAAAAAGGATGGGGAGAGTAATAAAACCCGGTGGAAAACAAATATGGACCATGGATTTCAATTTCGGATCACAACACGTGATGTGCAGTGGTTGCAGTATTGCGGTTCCATTATGTAGTGTAACCGCATCAGGCCAATGGAGGTGAGATTTGAATTCACTTGGAAAATCTACTACGTAACCCAATGGATTAATGTGGCTGCAACGGGGTCATATTGGATCGTATCAGAATATCAACACAAATTATTTTCTTATTTTGTTCTAACGTAAAAATAAATTACATCGCGCCGACCAAAATACGCATCGCAACGGCCGCAATAGCCGCAACCACAATGACCACAATCAAAACGCTATCACAATCAAAAAGTGTGATACACCGAATAGACTAATTCACTCATTAAAGAGTAAATATATAATATATGATGATGGATAATTTAATATATATTCATTTAACAAATACAAATTACTTTTGATTTTGGTTAGATCATAGTATTTTTCATTTTAACTCATTCAAATTTGGCACGCTATACACCGGGGCATTACCCCAGGCTTTACACTAGTTGTATATTAAAGTCAATATTCTTGATGACGAGTCACCAGGTTTAAATTTAAATTTAATTTCATACAGTTATATCATGCGCCTGACTTTTATCAATGAAACAATATTTTGTTCAAAACTAAAGTGAAACAAAAACGTTCATTGATAACTACCACAGAACAATGGTAGAAAAAAGTTACTCAACAAAATTTAGAATTAGAATGATAGACTAAAACATGGCTCATAACGTTCAGTGGCGGATCCAGAAAATCAGAGTTACGAGGTCCCTAAATTAATATAATTCTTAATAATATAAAATTAAAGAAAAATATGAAGAAGCATAATGTTTCATAGTTAATGTACATCAACATGTACATAAAAGTATAAAACCAGTCTTTTTTAATCCATGTTGAAAATCCTATTCCCAAAAAATAATTGCCACCAACTTCCCACTCAGTTCAAAATGTTGCATCTTTGACAATAGGCTAAAGGGTCAAATAGGCCATTGAATTGACATAAAGTGTTCAATTAGCTCCTTATATAGGAAGTTCTGCCCGGTCATTGCCAATTGGGGCGGTTCCCGGTGGAATTTTTTTATGAAATTTTTTGAGCATCTTCTTGATTAAGTCTAGCTTACCCATACCAAATTTCAGCTAAATATTCAACCGGGAAGGCATTCAAATGATTTTCCGAAATGTACTGTGCTGTTTAACTTCGCTGTCACCTTCAAAAACTCATTTGACTGCCTCCCCTGTTGAATTTGTAGCTGAAATTTGGTATGAATAAACTAGACTTAATTAATAAGATGCTTAAAATTTTTCATCAAAAAAATCCACCGGGAACCGTCCCAATTGGCGACATCCGGGCAGAACCTCCTATATAAGGGGCTAATTGAACACTTTAAGTCAGTTCAAGGGCCTATTTGACCCTTTAGCCTTGACAATACTATATTCCAACCATTTGTGCTCATCAAACCAACTTGAAACAAATTTACGTTTTTAGCCGCAATTACCTTTAAAAGGAAATCACGATCCCGAGGTTGAAATGACCATTTTTGAAGGTAACTACTCCATACCTCGTCTTGAACACTAGGATGAAATGAGCATGTTGTTTATGTGGATTATAGGTCAAAGTAGTTCCACTTTCAGCAAGTACATGATCCAATTTTTTAGTTACTAAAGGCGAATCATTTGAATTAATATCTTAACTACTCTCAGTACTTCGAACTTCTTTAAATCTGGGTACACTACCGAAATATCTTTTCATCTTAAATTGTAAAATTTCGAAAAAAACATCCATAAATACATAAATCTGTTACATTAAGTCAAATAAATTTTATAATTAATTAAAACAAATGAATTAATAAGAAGTGGTGGAGGTTTGAGGGAGATACGCTGATGGCAATAGATTTGTTGTGATTTGCGGTTGGTAGGGGTTTACAAAATAAAAAATTGACCAAAATGACATGAAATGGTGTTTTAAAATTCAGCTTTCATGGACCAAAAACCCCGAGCGTGAGGGTGGATCCGAACCCGGTAGCTCACGAATCAGAAGGTTTTAAACGCGTGCTTGCTCCCATTCATTTGCTGCAGCCATTTGATCTCTAGTTCGCTTATGTTTTATATATACATTTACCACTTAATATTGTAAAGAAAAAATATGTAATATATATAAGTAAAATTTTCAAAGTCCACGGGGTCCCGGGACCCAATGGGACCCTTAATGGGTCTGCCATTGATAACGTTCTTATCTCTAAAACACTATAAGACAACATCTGAAACTGTATTTTGTACATAAACGAACACTATAAGACAATGTAGTTCAATATACATTGTGAGTGTTTTTATCTACTCCGTATAAAACATTATTAATCATCCTGGGGTTAGCTCCATATGGAATATCATCTTAGGGCTACCCGCTCTAACCAACATCTGAAATTGTATTTTGTCTACAACTAATCATGATTGTTTCGTGTTCCCATGTATGCATATAGTGAAATTGAGTTGCTTTCTTTAGATTTTCATATAATGTCCTAATTTTTATGCACCCCATTTGCGGATCCAACTTCCAACTAATCACCAATTATGGATCTGTATTAGTGTAGAAGGTCAAGCCCTTCATGAGTTTTGGGTATACATATGTTGCCGAGTGTATTGATTAGAACTTTTCAAACCTTGTTCACATTTCCTCTGTTTGTTTTTAGTTGATTTGTTGAATTCGTTTTTTAACAACAGTGATCACATTTATTTATATTTATA